TCTTTCGGTTATTACCCCCCAGCTTCATCTCTCAAGTATTTCAGACAGTCAAATGCTTCTTCAAATGATCTTTAGTGCTCCAATCCCAACTAATAGGGGGTTCTTAAATTAAAGATACTGCTTTTTAATACCCCACATAAAAACTAATACACACTAATTAATCTAAACATGCTGCAAACGATTAAGTAATTTGCAAGACATGCAGCTCGAACCATCTGAAGCCTAAATAAATCTCAAGGACCAGAGGAAGGCCTGTTTTTTCAAAATCAAAACCAAAAGCAGCATAAGGCTCATAAAAACACCTTCAAGCCTCAGGTACGCTGCTTCAACACAGCAGGTGAAAATAACGCAGCTGGATAAAAAGATCGGTGTGAAGAGGATGATGAAGTCTTTACACCTCCTGGAAGACCTGTCCAGGTCTTAGGAGGGCCTGGCACGAAGCCATATCACCAAGGAGCAGCAAGAGCTCTCCTTCCCACCCTTTTCCAACGGGACAGCGGGCGATGCCTCCCAAGTAGGAGCAGGAGCAGGAGCAGCTCCCCATGGGCAGCGAACGGGGGCAGGGAGGAGGCAACAACCCGCTGCAGCCACCCCAGTGCCCGCTGCTGCTGCTGCGGGGAGCGGCCCGTCCCCGCACCCCTCGGGGCACAGGGGGCCGCTCCCACCGCCCTCCCCGTGGGGGACCCCGGCCCCGCTGCCGGCCCGAACCCCCGGGAAGGGGCGGCCCCGGCGGCACAGGGGAAGAGGTGGCCCCGGGGGGACCCCACCACGCCCCCCCCCCCCTCCCCCCCGCAGCGGCCAGGCCTCCCCAGGGCCCCGCTCACGTTCCCCCTCCCCAGCCCGAGGCCCCCTCACGCCGCCCCTTACGTGTTGTCCTGGTTGAAGTTGGCGAACAGCAGATGGCCGCTGCCGGCGTCGCCGCTCTGCCCGGCCAAGTTCATGGCGGGACGGCCCTCGCCGCCCCCGTCCGGCGGGGGGGGAAAGGACGAGGAGAGCCCTCCGGGAAGGCTGCACCGCTCACCCGCGACCGCCCCGGCCCCGCCGCATCCCCGCCGGGCCCTTGTTTACGCGGCGGGCGGCGGAGCGGGCCCCGCGCCTGCGCCCTCCCGGCCGCCGTACGCCCGCCGCGCCTGCGCGCGCCCGGCGGCGCCGTGGTCCGCGTTGCGAAGCTAAGCAGGGCCCGCCGCGGTCCGAGCCTGGATGGGTGACCCGCAGCCCACCCGGGGGTGCCGCGGCTCGGGCGAGTCCCCGCTGTCCCCGAGTCGCCCGCGACTACCACTGCCCCGTCGCGGTGGCCACAGGGGTCACACCCCCCTCGGTCCCCGCCCGCCGGTGCCGCTGCAGTTCCGCTTCGCGCCACGGGATGTCCCCGGGGCTCAGCGGATGAGCGTGCGGGGGCTCCGGGCTTTGGGGAAAAAAAAAGTTGGGCAGGTCCAGCGTGGAGAAGAGAACGGTGGGAGACCGTATAGCACTTTCCAGTGTCTGAGAAGGCTACAGGGAAGCTGGAGAGGGGAGCTGTAGTCATAGAACAAGTAGTAATGGGTTCAAACGGAACGGGGAAATATAGGTTAGATATACAGAAGGAATTCTTCACTACGATGGTGGTGAGGCACTGGAACAGGTTGCCCAGGGAGGTCGTGGATGCCCCATCCCTGAGTGTTCAAAGCTGGATAAGGCAGGAGATGTCCATGGCAGGGGGTTGGGATTTGACGATCTCTAACGTCTATTCCAAGCCCTTAACATAATTCTGTGACTCTGCTCCTGGCACAGCCTCTTCCAGGGAGCTCTCTGTGGGCAGTGGCCTTATTGTGGCCTCACTGGAGATATTCCAGAACCGTCTGGATGCAATCCTGTGCCATGTGCTCTGGGATGACCCTGCTTGAGCAGGGAGGTTGGACCAGATGACCCACAGAGTTGCAGGCTGCCAGACCCAAGGAGCAGCTTGTCAGGAGAGAACACAAATTGCAGGAAAAAGAGGAAAAGAACTGAGCTAGGGATGTCTGGAAATGGGATCAAAACCAAGGAATTCATATGGAAAAGAGTGAATCTTGGGAAATGAGCCACTCAATGTTGGTTTGTGCCTCTGGGGCCAGTTTGTCCCGGAGGGTTCATGAGTGATGCACATGGAGCAGTGGGGAGTGATGGGGCCTCCTTTCTCACCAGCCCCCCGAGGTATCAGGGACTCCCTGGGGTCCCCCACATTTAACCACCATCCAGCTGCTGGCCAGGAGACTCCTCCAAATGACTTAAGCCCGAGTGGCTGTGCCCCAGCACCTGCTGCCCTGTGTCCACCCTGCCATGGCCACCCAGAGCCAGTGCTGCCCCCCACACTGTCCCCCACATTCATCTCTGCCTCTGCTACACCTGCTGCCAACCCATCCACGTGTCCCATAACTCTTTCTACCCATCCAAAATTTATTTTCTCCTGGAGAGACTGTTCCTGCTAATTGCAGATTTTAATCTCAAGTTGTCTCTTTTCTTACTTGTTGTCTCCAGCACTTTAATGTGCAGGAAAACGCCCTTTCCTGGGGAGGTGGGATTACAGTGTGCCCTGCCAGGAGAGCCCAACCCCCATCATCACACCCAAAGGTGTGGATATTCACACCATTCACAGCTGGGATCCTGCTGGAACCAGCCGGGAGGGGGAGACAATACACAGAGGTGTCTCCAGCTGTGGGAATCCTGCATAGAATCATAGGATGTCCTGAGTTGGAAGGGACCAACAAGGATCACTGGGTCCAACTCCTGGCCCTGCACAGGACAATGCCAAGGATCACACCCATGTCCCTGAGAGCGTTGTCCAAACACTTCTTAGGGTCTGTCAGGCTTGGGGCCATGGTCACTTTTCCCTGGAGAGCCTGTTCCAGTGCCTAACTACCCTCTGGGAGAAGAACTTTTTCCTGATATCCAACTTAAACCTCCCCTGACACAGCTTCATGCCATTCCCTTGAGTCCCATCACTGGCCACCAGAGAGAAGAGATTGTCAGGAAGGAAGGAAGCATCCCTGGGCTTCATGAGCCATTCCACCTCTAAAGGAAAACTCTGTGAGACCCCCCTGTTTTGGTGGCATTAAAAAAACCCCGCTGCATTCAGGTACCCCTGAATCTTGAAATGTCTTCTTAGTATCATTGCAATTACTCAGATCTTTGCAAGAAAGTGGGGAGAGCACCAGGGATGGGAAAGAAAAACAAGGTGGGCTCATGGGCAGAGTACACAAGGAGAGCTGCCATGCAGGGAGGGGACACATCGAGGTGGGGTATGGGTGGTTTGAGTGTGGACCTCTCTGCACATCCCACCTGGGAGCAGCCCCCAGCTGCTTGTGATTCTCTGTCTGCCGGGTTTGGAAGCAGTGCTGGGGCTGAAGCCATTCCCCAGCACGATGCTCAAGGCTTTGGTTGCCATAACAACTGGATTCAGGCTTCAAAAATAGTAACTTATTTTTCATTCAATTTGCCTTTTGCCCTCTGAGGCAGATCTATTTTGGGACCGATGGTTCACTTCAGGTGTCCCTTGCCAGCAACCCCCACTGTGGGCTGGGGGCTTTAGGGCTGGGGGTTGTTTTGTTAGACGTGGTTTATCGCCTTTTTCTCTCCCTCTCCCTATTCAGACCCAGAGAACAGGTACAGCAGGGCACAGGCATCACAAAATAGCCTTTGCCAAAGCTCGTCATCTCGAAGGCTGGGGAAGGAATTCGAAAAAAATCTTCCCGGCTAAGTGGCAGAGCGTGGGAGAGGTTTTTGGAGATGATCTCACTGCATCTCAGCTTGGACCTGCCGCTCTCAGCCAGGGCTTGGCTGTCCCAGATACACTCGGAAGGTCCTACTGAAGATGGGGTTTATTTTGTCCCCCCCCATACCTCCTGGATCCTGCTGTTGAAAGCCTGGTCCCCGCTGGTGTCTTCCATCCATGATGGGAAACATGCAGAAAGGCTGAACCCGCTGCCTGCTCCCGGCACTGGGGAACTGGGGTGCTTTTTGTGTGTGTTGGGGACACCCCGCAATGCAACTGCCCCTGCAGCATCACCTCTTTTGCATCCCCTGGGGGGATTAGCTGCTTTTGGAAGGGGTTGCAGAGGGTGCCAGGATTAAGTCATGCCTTGAATTAAGGGATTCCTTCATTTTGGTCTGTTTTGGACTTTGGAAGATGTGTGTGTGCTTGATTTCCCATGGAAGTGGCCATACGAGCATAACCCTTTGTGTCAAGATAACTTCAGTTGTTCTACCTTCAATGTTGCTACAGCATCAGCAAGGAGAGGTTGTGACCAAGACTTGGGGTGACCAAGACTCTCCTCCTCCATTTGCTGCTGACCTTATGTCACCTTTCTTGTCCCTTACCTGCTGGCCTGAAGGTGCCTGCGATTTCTGGCACAGAGTGGGCAAGGATGATGCTCATCTGCCCTCAAACAAGCCCCCATCACCTTTTACATCCCCCCTCTGAGCTGCCCAACCTCAGATGTACATTGGGATGTCACCTCCTGTGGGAGCCTCCTTAGGCAATGTAGAGGATGAAAGATTATGGTGGAGATGGGGGGGAGGATTTTGGGATCTTCAGTCCTTGCCTTGCAGTCGTGCTGCTCTGTCCCCCCTTCTCGGAGCAGGGAGGGATGGTGGGATGCTGGTGGGAGTTGTGTCCCCACCCAGGGCCACCCTGCAGCGATGGGGCTGGGGCAGAGCTGCCCACCCCTGCTGGGGCCTCTGGAAAATAATGGGAAAAGAAAATCATTAAAATCAAATAAATAAGAACGAAGCCAAACAAAGCAGTTCCCGGGGGATGGCCCTGCCCCGGGGCGGGCAGGGATGGCTCCGGGACCCTCGGGGGGACCCGGCCGTGGGCAGCGGCGCCGGGGGGAGCGGGCTGGCTGCTGGCACTCGCCGCTCCCCCCCGCCCCGATGCTTTAATCACATTTTCAATTCAAATCTGCTGCTATTTGATCCCCCGGGGGTGGCGGCGGGGAGGGGGGGGGATATTTTTAGCTGTGCTTAAAGCTGCCGGGGGGCGGAGGGAGATCGCGCAGGTTGCTGTGGCCGCGAAGAGTTGGAAGGGATCCCCCCCCGCCCCCCTTTTTTCTTCCTTCTCCTCCTCTTTGCACATCTGAGGGCGGCAACGGGGCTGGCTCCCCCCTCCCGGAGGTCGCCTTTGTTTTCCCCGTGTCGCTCTCCCGAGCAGCCGGGGGGGCGGGAGGGGCCGGGGCTGAGCCGGGCTGGGCTGTGCCGGGCTGGGCTGGGCTGGTCCGGCCGCCCCTTCTCCTCCTCGCCCCGCCGGACCCCGCCGAGTTGGTGCCGTTCCCCCGGGCGGCACTTTCCCCCCGCCCCGGGGCTGAGCAGCCGCCGCACCCCGGGACCTCCATGGCACCGCCGCGATGTTCGTGTCCCGGGTCCTGGATTTCCAGAAGACGCGCTACGCCAGGTAAATCCGTCGGTGCGGGATCCCCGAGCCCCCCCCCGGTCGTCACGGAGCCCCCGCACAGCCCCAGTCTCTGCCCGGGCTCGGCTCGGCTGGGATGGAGCCCGAAAGGACCTTCAAAAGCTGCTGAGTGCCCCAAAGCCCCAGGCAGGTGCAGGCTGGGCTTTTGGCTAGCTGCTTTTCTGCATCCCTGAAAGATTCTGAGCATCCCTGGGAGCCCTTGCTGCCTTTCTCTGGGTCTAACTTCACTGCGATTTTTCCCGCTGCTGGGGGACCAGGAACCCGGCTCCCTGCAAGAACAGATCCCATCGCTGGTTCCAAATCCACCTTGCAAGGATCAGTGCTGTCCAGGGTCCCACTGCACCCACGTGAACCCCCTCGGGGTGGCTCCCCCAGCCCAGACCTGGGAGCTCAACGGGGCTCCCATGGGATGCTCCCGTGGTGCATCCCCCCTCCCTGAAATCCCCAGGGAGGCTTTCCAGCAAGCAGCAGGGACTCGTTTCAAGAGCTCAGGTGTGTTAGGAAACCTCACGGTGTTACCTGTGCCGGGGGAAACCTGAGGATCGCTGGGCACGGGTCAGAGGGCACTCGGCCGCGTGCGCTGCTGCGGGATCAGATGTGGCCTCTAAGAGCCGGCTGGCAGGTGACGCGGGGACAGGGGCCACCCGCAGCCCTCTGGCTCGCGGGGTGGCCGAGGATGAGTCAGATCCCACAGCGCTGGGGGCTGCACGGCCAGACAGGGATCAGGGGTTGCTGGGGGTGCTCAGTTTTGCACCGAGGACGGGCTTTGCTCCCAGCGACTGTGGTGGGGATGTTTCCCTGGCTGCGGAGGGTCCCACGGACTGGCGCAGTTCCTGGGGGCTCTCAGCTCTGTGCTGCCACTGCCAGACTCCCAGTGGCCCTGTAAGGGGCAGACACCAGAGAAAAACTTATGTGAAAAGACATGGTGATGGTGTTTCTTGCCTGCACCGGGCAGGATGATCCCTGGGCAATGTTTGCCTGGGCTGGGTAAGGACAGGAGACCACCCTCTTACTGCCTCAAACCATGAGCTCCTCTCCTTCCCGGTCTCCCATGGGGAAAATCCATGCTTGCATCTCCAAAAGCTGCCTGAAATGTGGGCACTTGCTTAAAGACTATTTTGATGCTGTAGCTGCCTCCTGATAACCTTTGCCTGGGGGGAAGAGGCAGGAGGTGCCCAGCAGGTCTGCACAACACATCTGGTAAAGGCTCCATGTGAAAACAGAGAATTCAAGACTTTTTCTTCCCAGCTGACATGCAGAGGACAGGGCTGGGGGAGATGGAGTTGAGCAGGAGGAAAACCACAGCTTTGCCCTAAAGCAGTGATGCAGAGTCTGTTTGGGAGCTGGGCAGCAGATCAGGGGCTGCCCCCCCCCCCCTCAGTCTCACTCAGCAGAACCCATCTGCCAACCTGTTGTGTGATTTATCCCAAATCAGCATGCTCCAACCTTGTCGTGGTCCTTTCTAGAGATAACTTGTTAGATGGGGATGAGGCACTACAGAGAGCCTTGCAGGGACAGAGCCCCTGTGCAGGGCGAGGGCTGTGGGGCACAGGAAGGATCAGGTCCACAGGGTATCCTCCACCTCTCGCTGTGTGCCAGGGCTGCATGGGGAGCAGGAGGAGATGGGTGATCCCTTGGCTTTCACCCCAAGGCAGTCACCAGCACGTGATGCTAACCCAGGACTTCCCGTATCACTGCAGAGATCCTCTTAGCCTAGTGCTTAAAAATAACAGTGGGCTAATCTCCATCCCCCCCGTGCACACCAGCTCTCCACAGAAATGCTCTGCTGTGGCATATCCCAAAAGAAGCCCTAAAGCTGCTCCTTCCTTCGTGCCAGGGATGTACTTTCAGCTGGGCTCTGAGGTGGGGACTGGGGTGAGCAGGAGCCAGGGGACCTTATGGTGCCACATGTCTTTCAAGGCAGCAGAAGCATCTCAAATCCTGGGTTCAGTTTTGGGTCCCTCACTACAAGAAAGACAGTGAGGTGCTGCAGCATGTCCAGAGAAGGGAACGGAGCTGGGGAAGGGTCTGGAGTACAAGTCTGATGAGGAGCAGCTGAGGGAGCTCTGGGGGGATCAACCTGCAGGAAAGGAGGCTCAGGGGGAACCTTCTTGCTCTCTACAGCTCTCTGACAGGAGGTTGTCAGGCTCTTTTCCCAGGTAACAAGTAATAGGACAAGAGGAAATGAGGTCAAGTTGCACCAGAAGTCTAGGTTGGATATTAAGAAGGATTTCTTCACCAAAAGGGATGTCAGGCTTTGGAACAGGCTGCCTGGTGAAGTGATTGAATCACTATCCCTGGAAGTTTTCAAAAGCCCATGTAGATGTGATACTTGGGAACGTGGTTTAGTGTTGAACATGACAGTGCTGGGTTAATGGTTGGACTCAATCTTAGAGCTCTTGTCCAACCTTAACAATTCTATGATTCTATCTTGCAACACCTTTACAGAGAATGATACGCTTGCTTGTGGCCTTAACAAAACAAACAAACAAAATCAGAAAGTTTTCCTCATGGTGGAAAAGCCTGGAACAGCTTCATTTTTCATGTTGTTTTATCTAATTTTGAACAAGGACCAAGAAAGGAGAAACTTGGCCATCAATACACCCACCAAAAGGAATAAATAAAACAGAGCATGGTGATGAAAGACCTGTTGTGTGAGAGCTGCAGTGAAGGCACCAGGCTTTGAACAAAGAGATGAAAAGCAGCGATCAATGTGGGAGCCTTCTGTGAACTGCCAGGAGAAAACTCAGGGCTGGAGGGGCACCAGGGTGTCCCCAAATCCCTCCTGCCTGGGCTTTGGAGATGGGGCATTACAGCTGGGGCAGAGATACACAAAACAAAGGGAGTGGTCTGTCACTGTGGTGTCACAGGGATGCAAGGCAATGCCATTTGAGCACATTGTGGTTATAAATGAGGCACTTGGTGGTTTCTGCTCTGCTGTGGGGTCTGGGAGGCTCTCCCATCACTGACACTGTGGGGAAAGGGAGTTTAAAAGCGCAGTTGCTGCAAGGCTCTCCCTGTCGCTCACAGCCTGCACCCTGACAAGTGATATCCATCTCCTGCCTGACAGGCCAAGTTCAGCCATGACGCCAGCACAGCACACAGTGACAGGGTGCAAGCAGATGTGACTCCTCCTGCTTTATCCAACCACCCCACTCCGCCTTCCACCTCACTGAAATGCTGCTGGGTTCCCCTCAGACCAACAGATCAGTGTAAGTCCCATCTCCATCACTAAACTCATTGGTCAGGTTACACTGAGCCAGTAACCAAACCCTCCCTCCACCTCACCACCAGCTTTGACCCCATTTTGGCCCACTTTATAAACATGGTCTGGTGTCTCCTGCCCACGTAGCTGCCATGGGGCCGAGTCTATCTCCCTGCAGGGAAACAGAATGCTTCCCAGACTTTGGCCATCCAGAGCTGTAATTGGAAGGAAACATGATTAAGCAGGGAGCTGCTGTATCTGGTGAGCTTCAGCATCTCTGGAGCAGCAGAGAGGGGTTTGCTGGGAGCTGCAGGGCACTGAATCATTCTAACAAACTGATAGCAGTTCACCATTTGATTCGTTCATGTAAAAGGCTCTAAATCTTACTGTTTGCTTGTCTTGCCCTGCACAGAGTAACACAGAGAGGAGCAGCCAGGAAAATCCACATTAATGTCCCAGCCCAGAAGCAGTGGGCTCAGTGGGGGTGTCTGTAGGTTCATGGGCCAGGCTTGTCCTCACCTGCCCTGTGTCACAACATAGGCACTGCCACCTCCTCACCAGCATGAGGGGACAGAGGTCTGAACTCTACACTTGCTCAAAACCAAATCCTCTAAATTTGGGGAAAGGCAGCTGGAAAGACCTTCCTTTTTTCTCCCTGCACCTGTAATTGCTGAACAAGGAGACATTCATCGACTCCTCCAGCATCTCTGGGAAAGAGAGGGAGAGGAGAACCAGCAGGAATAGGAAACATTGGAGTGCTCAGACACCAAACACAAAGAAAACAATTCTGGGCTGACAGCGTGGACAGAGGTCCCACATTGGGAAGATCTGGTCCCCATTTGCTTTGCAATGAAAACATGAGCAGCACTCGCCTGCTCCCACACATGCTGAAATGCTTTCCAAGAGCTCTGCTTCCCCCACAGCCCGTGTGGGATGAAGCAGTGAGAAGGGAAACGCTTTCAGTATTAATACCACAGCTTGAAGCTCCTCAAGAGGCAGGGGCTCCTCACCGTGGAAGCACCAGCCCCATCCCACCAGCCCCAGAAAGACCTGCCAGTCTGTCCCCAGCTGAGCAGATCCCCTTGATGCAAAAGGAACTGCTCCAAGAGATGGGCAGGCCCCCAAAACACCTAGAGAAAACCAGGATCAGCTGATGTCACTGACCAATTCCATGTTGGTTACTCTGTGGGGCCAGGTTGACCCAGATACCCTCTTAAGACAGCACTGGTAGGAGTCATCTCGTGTAGGTTTAAATGCCTAGGGCACATCGTTGGAATTGGGTATTTGGAAGGCAACAAATACTTGGAGCATCGTTTTTGATGGGGTATCACCTCAAACTGCCCCATCCCCTCCTCTGGGAAGGTCAGGGGATCCAGCAGGACAGGCTCAGGTGGGGATCACCACACTGGAGACGGGCACTCGTGGGCAAACCAAGCCCCATGCCTTGTGCTTTTGGGGGAAGGACAATCTCCTGGCTGCTTGGGAAACACGGTGATCTTTTCCCTCCTTGAGCTGGTGTTGGATATCAGCCTGATGTGATTCCTTGGCACAGCTGACTGTGGCCAGCTTCATGAAGTGGCAGCCAACACAATCCATGGGAAATTCAAGCCACTGCCCAGCACAGCAGGTCAGTGAATGCGAGAAATGGGGCTCTGCCAGGACTGCTCCGGGGCTTGCCTCCCCTCCTCCTCCCTTCCCACACCCCCGGCTCCACAGCGAGACAAAGCAGTGCCAACCAACTACAACTCCCAAAGAAAGGAAGGGAAAAGAGCACAACTAAATCCACTTCATCGCTCTTGGGGTGTGCTTGGCTGCGGCTGCACAAGGAGGTTGGTTGAGTACCCAGAGAGGTGCTGCGAGCGGACGGATGCTCAGAGCAGGGGCTGAGCAAGGCAGAGGGGACATGGCCAAACACACAGAGCTTGGGTCTCCCTTGGTGTTCTCCAGGTGCAACTGAACCTCAGCATTTTCATGCAGTGTAAGTCCAGTGGACTCTGTGATACACTGCAACCTCTCGTGATAACACGACACCACAGGCATCGTATTCCTGTTCCTGGTGTACGAGTCAGATGCCAGCGACTGGAGCCAAGCAGTGCTGACCTTCAGGACAATTTGGATCCAGGCCTGTGCTCCTGTTTACAGGAGTTTACAGTTGAGGTTTGCTGCTGCTGAGGAAAGGATTTTATGTAGAGAAAGATCATCAGGTCAGGGCAAGCAGTTCCCTCCTCTCTGTGCTGAGCTGCATGGCTGGCGCCACAGCATTAGACACAGCCCTGCACTCTGTTGTAAGTAATACTAATGGAAATCTTACTATCTGCATGCCTGGCTGGTGAAATACATGATTTTCCTTCTGTGCCTTCGCTGTGCGGAGGCATTTGCTGAATAATTTACAGCTATGATTTGTACTTGAGCAGCATCCAGGAATCCCAAATGAGAGCCTGGCTGTGTCTCTCGGGCCATGCTGTGGAAAGACTTTATGGACACGGGATGCTGTCACCTGCCCATGTATTTCACAGTCACAGCCAGGGTTAGAAGCTGGGAAGGCTCCAGCCCCCAAACTATCCAAATCCTCTGCCAGCAGGCTCAGGTTCTGGTGGTCACGCTCACTCCTGCCCACCTTGGGCTGTTGCAGCCAGAGCCAGTGGAGGATTTATCCCACTAACTTCTGTGCTCAAGGAAAGGCAGCAAGGAACAGGCACAGTGACTTTCCAAACAAGCAATTAATGAATAATAGAGGATTTTCAGTTCTGGACACAGCCCTCCTAACATTCACAAAACACCTGGGACATCAGAGTAATTTTGTGACTAATCAGCTGTTGTTGGAGGTCTCATGAGTACCAAATGAAACAAGAAGTCCCAGCTCAGAAAGTAATTTGGGAAACACTCACCAATCCCATCTGTTGTGAATAAACAAACAGCTCTGCTGTGGTTGCAGGGTCATGAGTTGCCCTGGAAGAGTTAGAGATACCATATACATACAGAGCAGAGAGCCTGCCAGGGAGAAAAATAAATATCCCTGCACAGAGGATGGGAATATGGGCAGCTATGACCCTGTTGGGAATTACCTGCTGAGTCTCCACCACCAACCTAGCCCTACTAGGTGTATATGTGCTCTCATGGGTGTAGAAATGGTCATTTCATCTAGCCTGGCTTGGAGCCTCCTGTGCTTGTCCCTGCTGGGATGAGGAGCAAGGAAGAGCAATGCTGTATACCCTTGGTGTGGTCAGGGGAATAGCAGCATATTCCCTCCTGCCTTTCTCAGCCTCTCATGCACCCCCTCATGCAGGATATGTCAGGGGGTTGCCTTCTCTGTCCCTTCAGGGGGGACATCTGTGCCTGTGGCTCAGAGCCAGGTACAGCATGGACATGGCTGAGCACACAGTCCCTGTCCAGGAGCATCTCTAAGCAGCAGCACTTGTTCAGCGTTCCTCAGGGCATGGAGGTTGTGTCTGGGAGGGTCTATGGCCAGTCCAAGGTGTTAGTACATGTCAGAGTGCTAGGAATGAGCAAAATTGGGGGGGGAGTAATCAGAGGTGATGAATGACTATTCAATCTGCTGCCTGTTTTGACTCACGCTGTGGAAGCAAGTCTTGCACCAGGGGCATCTGGGTGGGTTACTCCAGAAATCTGGTGATCTGCTAATTTACCCATAAGAAAGATTGAGAAATGCTGGTTTATATGAAAAGCCTTTCGTTTCCTGCTCCCTACCCAAGCTGCCAGTTCTTTACATGATGCCAGGAAGAAGTACAAAAGAAAACACTTCACTGTCTTGCTCCATCCATCCATCCCTCTTGCCCTTTCTCACCTGGGATGGGCCCGAGTCAGAGAAGCAGCCCATGGACAGGCTTGTCCCAGCTCCCCCATCTCCCCTGGTCCAAGGGGCTGACCCACAAGCTTCCAGCATGCACAGCTAAGCTTTCCAAACCAGGAGCACCATATGTTTGCGTAGGAGCATGCAGGAACCGAGGAATGGGCATGGAATAGAGGTTTCAGCTCTTAACGGGGTGCCACGCAGCCGTGCACATGCCCGCGTGGGTGGCTCTGCAGATGGCAGTGCTGGGCAGCACCAGCCTTTGCATTTCTGCTTCCCAGTGGCAAATGCTGCCATGCCAATGGGTAGGAAGGAAAAGCAGGATTTCTCAAGTGCTCCTGGGCTGGATAAAGCAGCAGAGTCTGGGGGCTCTGCACTGGGAGCTAAAGCCACAGGTTAAGAGGTAACGGCTCCTGAGCTTTTCCCATGTTCCCAAACTGCGGAATTGATGGCCTGGACTCAAGGGGGGTCATGGGTATAAATCCCTGGTGTCCTACTCAGTCTCCTGAATCCTGTGATTTTGTTCCATACATAAGCAGCCATCAGGCTCCGCACCATCACACTCAACCCTCTGAGACTGAGCTAATTACAAACCACAGAGGAGCTCAAGGGGATGAAGCCTCTTACCAGGGATGCAGCTGGAGCATTACCAGATTAGGGGTCAGAGGCAGAGCACATACCAAGCCCCAGCTTGCGGGGAAGCCACTGCAGCAGCTCACATGTGAGCATGAGCCTCAGGACCAAGCCCTGGCATCTGAGCTGGGTGTGCAGCCTCTGGGCTCATCAGGGCAAAGCTAGCCCTTATACTCAAGAGTCTGAAGCCAGTCTGCCCTACAGGAACACATCTGCTTCACCACTGTCACCTCAGGCACTACCACACTTGTTCTACCAAGGGGCAGCTCAAAGGGCCCAAGCAGGACTTACCACCACATCATCCAGCAAGTGCTTCCTCCATCCTTCCTCTCTGACCATCATCAAGATCCTCTTCTGTTGCTCTAAAAGCAGCTGTGACATCCAGTCATAAGAAGAAGGAGAAATCTTCTCCTTTTGTAGCCAGATCCCACGAGCTGTCCAGCAGGGAACACAGCCTGGAAGAGCACCAGCTCCTCGGTCAGGATGGTGGATGCAGAGCAAACCAGCATCCCACCTCCAAAGGCATCAGGCCAGATCCTGACCAAGCTGAGCCCTTTTATAAGCCATTTGCAGGTGAAACCTGTAGATGTGAGCTGGTCTGGGGAGATGCATATCACCTGGGATAACCTTGGACTTGCTGACTGCTCCTTTGTCCCTGTGTCACTGAGTCCACAGTCCATAGACACAGCCACAAGTACAGCCTGATGTATAGCAGGGTTGGGGGTGATAGGTGTTGGACTGGCTCATTCCAAGGACAGGGATGAGCTGCCCAGTGGCAGCCCAGCTCACCCTCCCCATCCATATTTTAGTGGTGATTTTTACACCCTCCTCACATTATCTGTCCACTGGCTCTCCTAAAGGATGTCAGTATTATTATCCTCACTTGGAGAGGGGGAAAGGGGGAGTGAGAGGGACATGAAGTGATGTGGCAGAGACCAGCCAGATGCTCAGTGTCAAAGGCAGGGCTAAACCCCATCTCTCCTAAATTGCAGCCTGGCCTGGGTCTCCATCAGAAGTCTTCCCCCCATGTGCGCAAAGGACAGCTTTCCTGAAAAGTATTCCATGGCTCTGCTTCTGGGAGTGTGTGGTCACCATGGAGTGGTTGATACAGGTTCTCTTAGTGCCCTCAGGAGAGCTCAGATGCTCCCACATGAGCCCTCCTGAGGAATAATTTAACTTAATCCCCTTTTTACCTTCCTCTTCCCACCCTGGCAAAGCAAGAGCCAGGCAGATCTCCATGATTTTTGAGGTTGGAATTTTGTTCTTGGATAAAAGTCTTTTAAAAACTCTGTAAAAACCCCCTGAAGCCACAAAAAAACAGAGTGGGAGAAAGAGAAGGAGAAAGGAACAGGCCTAGGAAGCCAGCTCTGCACTTTGCCCCGGCTGCCAGGGACAAGGGGCTCTTTGTTTCCCTGGCCGGAGCCTGCTGCACTGGCCCTTTTCAGTCTCCCTCCCTGGGAAAGGGGCCAGGGGGAAGCAAGGCACAAACAGGGCAGGCAAAAACCTCGGGGCTGCTGTGAATAACCCCTGCTCAGACCCCCAGCAGCCCCCCATCTTCATATAGCCAGTTGTGGAGAGTCTGCCAGGAACAGCACCAGGAGGAAAAGGTGCCTGGGAACCCTTCGGTTCTCTGCTTCCCACGCACCATCCCTGGAAATGAACACGCTGGTGCTCCTGCCGTGCAGGAGGCTTTGAACTTCTCTGTGTCTTTTGGACTTTGCCTTCCTAAATCACCTGCTAAAAGGCACTGAAGCCCCCAGCTGTTGTATGATCACAGCGTCGATGGAGCCGCATCTCCGTGGCTTTGCTGGTGTTGTGGCTGTTGGGGCCAAGTCTCTCCCATCTCCTCCCACCCCAGGGACACTACCAGGCTGTCCCCAAGCCTGTGGCTGCAATGACACGGAGCTGGTGATGGCTGTGGGTTCACCCAGCCAGGCAGAACACTTGCTGCAGGGATCAGATCTAAGTTTGGAGAGGTGTTTCTCATCTCTTTATTTTCCGTCACTGTAAAACCCCGGAGCTCTGCCTGGCTGCCAGCAATTCCCCCTTTCCCAAGCCCAGTCAAGCAGAGCTGGGGTGGGAAACACACAGCAGGCTGCTCCTGGGGCTCTCTGGGATTTCATCAGCTCTAATGAGACTCACAGGTGCCCTCTCCAAACATATCCATCTGTCTGTCCAGGCTGGAGCTGTGGTTTGAGGCTGGTTTTGTGCACTGGTATGGCAACTATCTACATGCTAGGAATGATGGAGGGGTCCCAGTGCCCTGCCCTACACCCATGCCAGTGTGCACAGGGATGACATGAGCTGGATGGATGCTTGGCACCTGGGATGGTCTGAGAGATAGACAAAGTCCCAGGAGAGAGAAGGGGAGGAAATGGCCTCTGCACCTCTGGGGAGCAAGGTGCTGCAGGGCAGCCAGGGACTCATCCTGTCCTGCCAGGAGATGGGCAAGCATCAGCTGCTCCCATTTCTACAGAGCAGAGAGGACCACAAAAATGTGCCAAAGTAGCCCCAAAATGCAATGCTGGCTGCTGCAGGAGGGCCCCACTGTGTCCAGCTGGCCCAGCACTGTGCAGACAGGTCCCACATCCATGATGCTCTGTATCCCATCCTCCACAGGAAGATGTTACTAGAAAGCAGCGCAGGAAAACAAGAGCAATCTCTCCCTAGGTCAAAAAAAGTTCCTCCTCAAGGCTATTTCTCCCTCCTGGAAAAGGAAGTGTTTACTTCAGCCCCATTCCATGGGGACGGACAGGGTAGCCCTTCTTGGCCTCTCCATCCCTGTACCAGGGCTAGGCAGGATATTTGCATCCCAGGGTTTCCTTCCCAAAGGGTCTGGGTGCCCCTCAACCCAGGGGAGGGGGCTGTGGGAACGGGCCCTGCTACTGCTCCCCCTTACTGCTCTGAACATCATCGCCAGAATGGAGGGGGGACGGTGCAGGCTTTGTTAAAATAAATAAAATCAAGGAGAAGGCCTTGAACATGTTTCCTCAGCAACTGTGACGTCATCTGGGATGTCTGGCCTCCTCCCCTTCCCCCCTCCTTCTTATTATTAAAAGGGAAAAGAAAGGGAAGCAGACAGTGAAGGGGAGCTGGGGACAGTCTCCTGGCAACGCCTGGGACAGTAAGGTCCTTCTGCCAGAGGCACATGGCTCCAGCGTGGGGAGCTCTGCCAGCACTCCTGGCTGGAGCACTGGGATGGGGAGGGCATCCCTGGTGTGCCCTGGGATGGAGGTGACAGCACTCTGGGCACTACCATGTGCCCAGGGATACCAGCTGCTCCCCGGGCAGGGCAGCCTTGCTGAGCCTTGATTTACCCAGCGCGGGTCCTCGGTTTGCAGAGTAGTGGGAGCGTGGCCCCTCCATTCCTCCTGCTAATTCCAGACATTTTTTGGTGATGATGATCACGGAATCTTCCTGAAGTGCCAGGGTCTGTCAGCAGGCAAGGCAGGGGCTGGGGACAGAGTCCCTGTGTGGGTTGTCACTGTCACCTGTTGGGGAGACCCTCACACACCCGGGCCTGTTCTGGCCACACTCCCCCCAAAAATCCTTGTCATCTGAGCTATTTAATCCATCCTGACTCACTTTTAACAGGCAACAGCAAGTGGCTCTGGCAGTGGGACCAAGCAGGCAGGAGACAGCAGAGGAGTCCACAGAGATATGAGTGGCTCAGGGATGGGGAGAGGGGACTTTTACTGTCTTTCCCAGCACTCCAGACCAAGGGGTCACCTGTGCCCAGCAGCAAGGTCCTGCCAGCCCCTGAGCCCCTTCACTGGGCACAACTCAGCTGTGAAACACGCCACAGATGGTCCAGGAGCCAGGGGCAAACAGGGTCAGAAAACAATTAGCCCAGGCCCTGCAGGGCAGCCCTGCCAGCACCCACTCAGATCGGCTGTCCTGACCTGAGCCATGGCAGGAAACGCCTTTAAACCCCTGATTCTCAGGACCAGCGAAGGATCCCTCTCTGTTTTCCTGCTTCTTATTCCATTTGCTAATCCTCCACTGCTGGCTCCTGCCAGAAGAGGATGGTGAGCGAGGCTTTGCTCCAACCCATTATCACGGATGCACATTTAATTTGCTGTTACATACCCAGCAATGGACCAGCCAAGCCTGACACTATTTTTTATCACTGTGTGCCAATCCAACAGGGGGAATCAATACGTTCCTGAGAATGCCAAGAGCAAGCTGATACCTCAGACTAAGAGAAACAGAAATAAAGATACAGGTTTCCAAGGGAGAGCAACAGGGTTGCTCCCCACAGCAATCTGTGCTGGGATGTGCAGCCCTGTGGGCAGGGGGTGGATGGAGGTGGTACCCAGAAACCAAAGGCATCATGGGGATACCCTTGTTGGAGCTGAGCACACTGCTGTGACATGAGGGTGTCACCACGGGATGGGTTGGGGACCCACAGGCCCACCCACTACCCCATATGCCCTCTTCACTGCTGAGGCTCTTCCCACCGCTGCCTGCAGCAGCAGGCAGAGCTGGCTCCCGCCTTCTGCTCTCCAAGCAACAGCAGCTCACGGGAAATGCTTCAGCCTGAGCTGTGGATGAGAAAGACCTGGGGTCCTGGCATTTGGGGACAGCCAGATGGACAAGCTATGCCCTGGGGCTACTTCTGCAGGGCAGCTGGAGCAAAGCTGAGCTGCAGAGGGGCTCCAGGCCCCCCAGCCTGGGGGTGTCCCTGTGCAGACCCCTCCAAGAGGGTTTTACCCCCAGCCCTGCTCCCTGAGCACGTTTCTCTCCCTGGTTCTCGCTGCAGGTTCATGAATCACCGTGTCCCGTCCAACTGCAGGTACCAGCCGACGGAGTACGAGCACGCAGCCAACTGTGCCACCCACGCAGTGAGTCCCTGTTCCCACCCCAGGGTGAGGGAGGGTGGAGCTCATCTCTACGAGGATCCCCTGAGGAACCTTAAAGAACACCAAAAATCTCTGTGTTCAGCCCTGGAGCAGTCACTGGGAGCCTTGGGACTGTGATGAGGCAGATGTGCCCCAGGGATTGGGATGTTCTCCTTCCTTCTGCCCTGGGAATCTGGTGGGCATCTCCCTTCCTCTCACCCACTGTGGCCTCATGTCCCTGGGGAAGCTGGCTGTAGGAGCCAGTGGAGCAGGAGTATTTTGCAAAGCTCCCTGAAAATGGAGTGTTTCACAGCAGGAACTGTGACAGGTACCCCTGGGGCTGCCTGCACAGTCCTGGGACTGAGCTCTCCCCACATCAGAGCTTCCCTGGGGAGCTGGCAGCTCCCACTCTGAGTCCTGGGAGATGACTCAGAGGAAGCCACCCTCCTTGTGCCTTCCTCCTCCTCCCTACCTCCATCTGGAAAAGCTATTTTGGAACTGCACCACACAGGGAGGGACCCTGCCTGGCCCATGTGGGTGGCCAGGCTGCCCCTTATGGGTGGTGGCTTTGACCAGAAGCAAACCCCACCTAAAAGGAAAAGTGGAGACTGTATTGTAGCTGCTTGATGGAAATGCAGAGTCAACAGGAGGTTTACTTCTGCCTTCCAGTTCTGGATCCTGCCCAGCATCCTTGGCAGCTCCATCCTCTATGTCCTCTCTGATGACCAGTGGGAAACCATTTCAGCCTGGATCTATGGCTTTGGCTTGTCCAGCCTCTTCATTGTCTCCACTATCTTCCACACCATCTCCTGGAAGAAGAGGCATCTCAGGTACCATCCCTGATTGCTCAGGGCTCGGGGAGGGGGAGAGGGTCCGCAGGCCCCCAGTGCTGTGACCTGTCTGTCTGTCCATCCCACAGGACTGTGGAGCACTGCCTGCACATGTTTGACAGGATGGTGATCTACTTCTTCATTGCAGCATCCTATGCTCCCTGGTGAGTTGTTGGTGGGTGGGGGCCACCTCTTGGCCCCACTGGAAGGCAGAAAATCAGCCCAGCTCCCACAGATAGGGTTTCCCCTCTGGTTTTGGTTCTGCTTCAGGCTGTACCCTACCCCTTTCCACAAAGCCTTCATATCCTATAGATTCCAACCTCTGTAAGTTGAAGTTACAAGTTGGGAAGACCCTTTGGTGGGACAGTCATCAGATGCAGGCAGCATTTCCCTGTCCCCTTGCTGTATTAGCCCAGACTGGGGTGCTGCCCTAGACCCTACTCACCACAGACCTGGGTCTTGCAGGCTGAACCTGAGGGAGTTGGGTCCCTGGGCCTCCCACATGCGCTGGATCATCTGGATCATGGCGTCTTTTGGGACCGTCTATGTGTTCTTCTTCCATGAGCGGTGAGTGCCTGTACCTGGCCCCCGTACCTGTACCTGGCCCCCCTGTACCTGTACCCCCCGTGCTGGTGGGTGTGTGGGAGCAGGGATGTGGAGGAGGGATGTGGAGGAGGGATGTGGAGGAGGGATGTGGAGCAGCGATGTGGGACCAGGGACGTGGAGCAGGGACGTGCTGCCATGAGTTGCTTCTTCCACGTGGTGGCACCAAATAAAAAGCCAAAGGCCCCTGATTTCTCCCTGAAGCCCCAAGTGCCTGGCCCGGAGCTGGAGCTCCCAAGCCAGGGTGGGGGGTCCATCACCCCTGAGCAGGGTGCCAGTGTGACTCACACGTGAGGACATGGGACCTGCCATGATGGCACCGCCACCCCTTTTCCTATAGCCTGGCCGTGGACATTATAAGCATAAAACTCAACCTTCCTCTGCTCCTGCCTCCAAGCAGCTTCTCTGTCGGTCGCAGGTACAAGCTGGTGGAGCTGGTGTGCTACGTTATCATGGGCTTCTTCCCCGCCTTGGTCATCCTCTCCATGGTAAGCTACTGCTGGGAAGAACTTGGGCTCAGTGCGAGGGACAAATCCCTGCAGGTTGGTGCAGTCTCCAAAGCTGTGTGATGGATAAAACCATCCTCATTATGATGTGGGCTGGGTTGGTTTTGCAAGGGCTTTGGGTGCCCAGCAGACACCGTGTGCATCTCCACCAGACCTCCTGCCTGGGCTCCGTTGAGTTGAAATTGTAGAGTCACAGAATCAAAATGGTTGGGGTTGGAAGGACCTTAAAGACCATCTGGTTCCAATCCTCCCAGAAAAGCTGGACTGCTGGGTCCCCACTGCCTTGCTGGGGATAGCAGAAGGCAGAGAGAGGATCCTGCCTGCAGCTGTGGTCACACTTCTGGTCTTGATGGGGTGGTGGGGAAAGGGCAGACACGCTGTGGCCGCACTGAGCCCTTCCTCCCCGTCTGCTCCCAGCCAAACAGGGACGGCCTCCCGGAGCTGGTGGCTGGTGGCTTCTTCTACTGCCTGGGCATGGTGTTCTTCAAAAGTGATGGCCGCATCCCCTTCGCCCACGCCATCTGGCACCTCTTCGTGGCCATCGGAGCTGGAATCCACTACTACGCCATCTGGAGGTACCTCTACCGGCCCGGAGCGCTGGAGACCAAAACGTCCCGGTAGAAGCCTTAAAGACGTTGTTTGTGCCAACGGGCACACGGGGGCACGGAGGGGAGTGGGGAGGGAGCCTACACTGTGGGCTCACCCCAAACCACCCCCTGGCCCTGCAGGCAGCAGCTGCTGGTGCCCCTCCCGCACAGACAGGAGAGCCTGGAGGTCGATTTTAAGCATTTTTCTTTTTTAACCTCGGGAACTGTTCTATTTTTTTAGGCAAAGGTTTCATAACAAAGTGACCGACTGAGGGGCCGTGGGTAATAGGGGGCTTCACCTGCTGGACTTGCCAGGCTCTTCGCTCACTCACCTGGCCTCGAGCATCCCATGGGAGTGAGGATCTTGGCCCCAATGCCCGTGGCTAGTGACACCCTGGGTTTGGCTACTGGAGTCCTTAGCATGAGCCACCCAGGGGACTGGAGGTGTCAGGATGGGGGGAAAGACCCAGTGGTGGAGGAGGGGCATGGTGACAGCCCTGCACCACTCAGACTCGGCTCCTAAGTGGTCCTAAGTCGTGTCAGCATTAACTGCTCCCTCCCAAGTGCTTGACAGGAAGGTCCAGACTCAAAAAGCCTTATATGAGATTGAAACTTGAATCTCTTCCAGGGCGCCCCAGCCTCTGAGCACCGGGAAACCCTTTCTCTAAGCCAATATTAAGTGCACAACTTGGTTCATCCTCTAGATGGGCCCTGGGAGCTCCCACGGACATTTTCTCCCTGGGGTGCTTTGCTTTCCTGTTTGGCCTCAGTGCCAGTGGCAGCCCAAAGCATGGCTCCCTCCCAGGCTCTGCTGCACGTGTGCCTTTGGCACGGAGCAGAGCTGGGATCCAGCTCCTGGCATCCCCCTGAGTGGGGCTAGCCCATCTGCTTCAGGGGATTCCCTTTCTCTTTGAGGGAGGGAAGTGAACCTCCTTGGACTGGGATCATGGGGCTGCCTGCCTTCTCTGCTTCCATTTTGATGATAAGCCTGTTGCTCATCAGATTTAATTCCACTTTTGGGAGGATTTCTGACATTCCCAGGATCGCTGCAGGGAAGGAACGCATCCGCATGATGCTTGGAGGTGAGCTGGGACAGGGAGATCCTAGTGATGCTCCATTTTTAAATGCCTAACTATGGCCACAAAGTGCTAACACAGGATAACAAGACATGGAACATCCATCTGGTTGTTGGGAGCAGCCTTGATGGTGCTGGAATGGCAAACCCACACCAGGTGTTGCTCCCCAAACACACCGGCAGAGCTGCTGGAGCCAGGAGGGTCTGGTGTGTGCTGGCTGTGGTACCTGCGGGGATCTGCTCCCAGTCCTGCCTGCACCTTCCCTGTTAGCCCTGAAGGCATCGATTTCCCATCATCTCTTTCTGGCCTTCGATTAATCACAACTGCAGAGGTCTTGGTGTGACGTGGCAAGCGAAGGAGATTTATGGCCACCATCCCACATCTCCCGTTTCTCCATCTCCATGCTGAGGAGCTGAGCTCCCAGCTCTGCCCCACCTCCCACAGAGCTGAGGCCTCCCCAGCCTGCAGTGCCCTGGGACTAGCTCTGCAGGGCTGTGCCACTTTGCAGCAGATTACCAAAGAGGAAACATCTGGATATTCATCCCCTCCTGATGCTCTGGTCACCAGGTCAGCAAAAAAATCCAGTGGGTTTTCGCTTCCTATAAGGGGCTCTGGGTGCTGTGCCCAGCACCCCAGCGTGGCATGGGGCTGCTGGGGGTCTCTGCCCAGGGCACCCCAAAGCAGCCTTTGGGCTGAGGTTTCCCCTTGGGGTGACAAGTGGTCTTAGGGATATAGGATGAACAAGCTCATGTGAGCCCAGGCTCTGCTGCTGCCTCTCCTGGTCCCCCAGGTCCCAGCCCTTGCTCTGTCACCTACCACAGATGGAGGGGTGGAGAAGGACAAGCTGTGAGTAACCAGCAGTTGATGGAGCATATCTGGGGTTGGAATAGCAGGATATAAAGGTCCCAGAATGGGAGATGCCATATTTTCTGTCTGACAAGTCATTACCCTTCTCTGTGCCTCAGTCTCACCATCTGTAAAATGGGGGTGAAGACACCAACCTACCTCACAGGGCTCATGTGAGGACCCCGTGAAGCACTTGGAGGACAGCCAGTGCTTCACAAACACGTGCTTCAATTTTCACTGAGTCTGGGGGAATGGATTCCCAGACCCACTGTGGGCCACAGTGACAACTGTGGCTCAGGGTGCCTGGCCCTCCTCCCCGTCCGCCACTAAACCCATGGGGAACCACCCTGGGGACAGACCATGCAAACAGCCATAGGCAAACGTCCCCTGCCAGGGCCTGAGGATGCCCAAGGACCACCATTGTGTTTTGTCTGTAGGCTTCATCCCAAGGGATTTAACTTGGAAACCATTTTGTCATCGGCAGCTTTTGGCTCTAAATCTGTTCCAGGGGCTCCTGAGGCACAGGGAGGTGCCAGAAGGACCTTTCTGGGGCTACTTCATTTCAGTCTCCTGCTGAAAATCCAGGGCAGGACAGATGCCTGGGCAGGAATGGGTGGTTGGACTCCGTCTAGGACATCACCACCTTCAACCTGGATTTGCTGAGTGGGCTTCTCTGTAATTGAGAAGTCCCCCCTCTTGCTCCTAAATCCTCCCCTTGCAAAGCAGGATTGGGGGGAGGGCACAGAGCAAGTTATCAGATTGTCCTCCTATTTTATACTAATTTTAAGTGACTCTCAACATTCAGGATGTCTGTGGAGGAGGGCTTGAGGCAACTTTTTAGCATCTCATGTTTTTCACCATCCACCCTTGTTCAATCAGTATTTTATATTTAACACAGTATTGGGTCAAATACAAACAAGTATAAGGAAGATAACGCTAGTGAATATTGTTTCCTGTGGAGTAGGATTGAAATAAAAACTCAAGATACCTCATTCTTGCCTGCTTGTTAAATCAAAATTAGTTTCCCTGCAGCATCTGGATATAAACCCATTTTCTACATGACTCATCCCACGTGGCATTGCTCCCTGGTGAGGAGAGGAGCCACTCAACCAACTGCAGGGTGATGGGATGCTGAGCACTGACTCACCTCGATGCAGGGATGGCTTTGCCAGCTGCTTGCAGGAGGGACCAGAGCTACTTCGTCCTTCGCACCAGACGCACGGGGAAATTTGGGTAGGGCACAGGTTGAGCTCCAAGCTGCAGAGTTTCCTTCAAAATAAATAAACTGTTGAGTTTGTTGGCAGATGAGCATCTCACCCAAGTGGCTCCAGCGTAGAGCCCTGCACGCCCACTCCAGACCTGTCACTTACCCTCCTGCGTGGCTGAGTTGGAAGTTGACCTGTGGAGCCCAGGGGGTGGCACTACAGGGGGATGAAGGATGCCAGACCCGTGGAGGTGGAAAACCTGTGACAGACTGGGCAGAGGGTAAGCACAGCTCACTGTGGACCCCAGAGAGGAAACCCATCATCACCCAGCGTCTCCCAGCAGCCTCTCCCACAGGCACTGGCTCTTGGAGAGGGAGAGTTTGCCTCCTATCCAGGGAGTTGGGCAGATGGTGCTCCTGCTCTGGGCTCTGCACACCCACCAGCTGCCCTCTCGCTTGCACTTCTCTGTCAGAATTACACAGGGCTGAATCTCTCCCAGGCTGTGATGCTCAGCAGCTTTCCCAGAAAGCCAGGGAGGGTTCCCTGCTTCCAGGGGCAGCTGAACTCACTCCAAAACCTGACCCACAACTTCCACATCACCCATCATTTCTTTGCTGCTGGCGATCGGGCTGGACTGGGAGGCCTCCTGGCTTTGCTGTGCTTTGGTGCTGTCATTCCCAGAGGGTGTCTGGATGGCAGAATCACCTTCCCACACAAAGCACCTCAGCACCACTGGACATGGAAACACCCCTTTAAGCAAAAGGAGACATTTTCACCGAGGGAAGCAAAGCATCAGTGACCACCTCATCTTGAACAACTCCCTATGTGGTCATGATCCATCCCTTCCTGGTTTCAGCCACCAGTCTGTGTGCAGCCTCAGCAGTCTCCAGGTCAACTCTGGAGCTGGTTTGATAAAACCTGTTTGGCCAAAGCCAGCAGCTGCCTGTGCAGGTGAGGCACCGCTGCCAGTGCAGCCCTGCCTGACTTGCTCCTGGCATTTTCATAAAATCCTAGAAAGGCTTGGGTTGGAAGAGACCTTAAAGCTCTTTTTGTTCCAACCCCCTGCCATGGGCAGGAACACCTTCCGCTAGACCAAGTTGATCAAAGCCACTTCCAACCTGACCTGAAATACTTCCAGGGATGGGGCAGCCACAGCTTCTCCGGGCAACCTGTGCCAGAGCCTCACGACCCTCACAGGGAAGAATTTCTTCCCAATATCCCATCTAACCCTGCCTTCTGTCAGCGGTGTCTCATCCCGCGGGGCAGAGGTGTCCGGACCCCCTTTCCCGTCCCGGCCGCTCGCGGTGCCGGTGCCGGTGTCGGGCGCGCGGGGGCGCGCGCGGCGCGGTCGCTCCGCCCCGGCGGGACGGGCCCGATCCGAGCGCCCCGCGCAGCCCCGGCGGCTCCGGGCGCTGCCGCCGCCGGGGTCGCGCCGAGGCTGCCCCGCTCCGCGGTGAGTACCGGGGGGTGGCGAGGGCAGACCCTGCCCAAGGGACCCCCCTTTTTTTTAAAACACCCACCCGCCCCCTGCATCCCCCCCTGTTGCCTCCCGGGACGCCCCCGCCGGTCCGGGCAGGGAGGGTTTGTTTCTCGCCCCCGCTGGCAGCGGCGGTCGGGAGGAGCGCGGCGGTGGCGGCTCAGGCTTGTCCCGGTTACCGTGGGAGACCTGCGCTTCCCCGCTGCCCGGAGAACCGCGCCGGGAGGGCTGTGCCGGGAGCCGCAGCGCCTGGGGGTCCCTGTCCCGTGGCCGGGAGCGCGGGGAGTCTTCCCCACATTGCCTACCCCTGGGGATCCGTCTTCCATGCTCATCCCTTGGGATCCTTCCCCCATTGCTTGCCTCGTGGGATCCTTCTCCCCCTTGCACATCCCTTGGGATTCTTCTTCCCATTCCATACCCCTTGGGATCCTTCTCCCCCTTGCACACCCCTTGGGATCCTTGACCCATTCCATGCTCCTTGGGTTCCTTCTCCCCAGTACATACCCCTTAGGATCCTTCTCTTCCTTGCACACCCCTTGAGATCCTCTCCCCATTCCATGCCCCATGGCATCATTCTCCCCCTCGCACACTCCTTGGGATCTCTCTCCCCGTTCCACACACCTTTGGATCCTTCTCCCCACTGCACACCCCTTGGGATCCCACTGCTACTCCACACCCACCATTTCACCTGTATTTGGTTGCCTGTGACTGTCGTGGTGTCCCAGACTGTGGCAGGGAGGTGCTGGCATGGTCTGTGTTCCCGGGAGGCTGGAGCAGTTTCATGCTGAGTTGTAACTTTAGCAGAGAAAACTCAGGGGAGTTTGCTGCTTGCTGGGGAAGTGCTTATTTTCAGCTCTCTCCAGGACCAGTTAATTATCGCTGGAAAAAAAATTATTGCTAAGATCTTATAATTAGGCAGCCTATGGAGACTCTGCAGCTCGGGAGGCAGCAGAAAGCAAATGCTCTTTGTGCAATGATTCTTATGTATGTATATGTGTGAATAGAGCTGCCTGGGCAGAGGGCTGGCATCTGTGCTGGCACATTACTGGAGAGCTGGTGCAAGTTGGTGGCTCAAAAGACCTTGCAAAATAATTATAGGGGAAAAAAAAATACGAGAAAAGAAAATCTGCTGAAAGGTCTCCTGTTGTCCTTGTAGAATCAGGTCCCCAATTGTTATAATGTTTGTAGAGCGATAGCTGCCTTTGGGACAAACTGTTCGTGTTTGCAGGACCAGGACTGCCTTTGTATCCTGTTTGAGCAGTCCCGGGGCCGTGGGGTCCAGAGTGCTACCACAGGGTGCCTGCTGCTAATAATAACATGGTAAGGAGTTTACCCACCCTGATCCGGCTAAAGACGGCACCAGGGCTGGCATGGACATTATTGGCCTCCGATCTGTCCCTAGATTAGGTGGATGAAGCTCCCACAAGGAAAGGCCGGGCTCTGAAGCGGAGACTTGATCCCAAATGGAAGGGAGCGGGAGCTCCGGTTCAGAGTGGAGGGGTTTGGGCTCTGCCCTGGGGATGGGATCTGCAGAAGGGCAGGATTTGGAGCCGAGGAGTGCACGTCAAAGCCGCCGCATCCAGGGTGTTCTCATTTCCTTTGCTCTCCGAGGTCTAATTTGTTCCACATTGCAGAGCCGGGGCGGCCTCTCCCTCCGCTCGCAGCATCCAGGCTGCGGTTGTTGCCACTAGACCAAGGCTGCAACTCTGGTGGTTTCCATCAAAAAAAAAAGAAAGGGGGGGCTGAAAGAGAAGGGAAAATTTTCAAAGAGAGATCTGAGGAAACAGCTTTTCTGGTTGCCGTTTTGGGATGGTTGTAGCCGAAATCTCACCGCCCATCCGTGCAGAGCTGTGTCTGCTGCGCCGGGACGAGCCCCAGGGAAATTCCAGAAGATTAAAAAGTGTTTTAATAGCATTGCTACTCTTCCCAAAAGGGAGTAAGATGACCTGGTAGCTACAGGTTGATTGGCTTGATAGCATCCCCACAGGGAGAAGAGGGAGAAACCTGGCTCGGGCTTTAATTGATTAAAGACTTCACCAGGAATAAATTCCTGCCATCCAGCATGGCTGTATGGAAAATAACTCCTGGCAAGTAGAAATGATTTCAGTCTCCAATGTGAGAGGTGACTCTCTGGCTGTAACACAATTTTGTGAAGCATTTGAGTTATGGGAGGTGATATTCTTGTAAAAATCTGCACTTTCCAGCATTAAAAAAGTCAGTCCAGTCCAGTATTTAGAGCTGACATTAGACAGTGTCAAGAAAGCCGGTATTAAATAAACGTGATCCATTTCCAAGGCAGTTATCAGGGAGATTATCACTGCTGGGCACTGCTAGCTGGTAACATGCACTCAGTGTTTTTATCACTAATCTGGAATAAAGGAGAGAGAAATGATTCCTGGAGAAACCTGGGGCTGACCCAGAGCAGCAGAGTGTTAATACTGTCTACAAATCCAGATGGTAAACTGGGCGAGCGAAAGGCATCCTGACTGGAGCAGAATGGAAAATGGAAATCCTTTTACACCCAAAAATAATAACTGGAGTTGTATGTGTTTTCCTGTCCCTAATCTGGACAATAAATTTTCGTCAGGAGCTGCTCGCAGATGCTGGGAGAGGCAGCACACGGGCTCACCAGGGAGCTGCCTGGGGGGTGGCTGTGTGTCTGTCCCAGTTTCAGTGCTGGAGAACTGAAAACTTTCAGGGTAACGGGAAGTTTTGCTCTGGAAAAAAGTAGCAGTTTGCATCTTTGGTCGGAACCAAATTTGGGCTTATGGCAGTCAAATGCGCTCTCCGTCTCAGCAGGGGAGACGTGGGATCCAAGGGGAAGGGACCAAGAAGCTGCAGAAAATGTATTACAGCAAGAGAGGAGGTGGCCATCCAGTTAGTCTACTCATAAATCAAATTAAATAGGAGTGAGGGGGAGCTTGACAAAAACATTTAAATATTCTCACAGAGGAGAAAATACATGGTAACCAAAAGCTTGTTAATTGGGCAGTGAAAAGCATGGCAAGAATCAATGTCTGGCAGCTGAGGGCAGACACGTTGGAAATAAGGCATAAATATTTAACGAGCGGGAGCAATTAATCATCAGAAGCAGCGTGGAACAGCAGAGGTGGGGTCAGCATCTCTTTGCCTTTCACATCACGACCCATCACCTTGCACAGAGTTGCTCCCATAGCCCCAGCACTGGGCCAGCAAGAGGAGATGGATTGAACCACGCTGAGGCCCTGATTAGGTGATTTAATTAGATGATGCATTTCTCTTTAATCACGGTGGAGCCATGGAAGAGAGTACTTGTGCCCTGATGGCTCTTTCTGAGGAACACCCAGGAAATCATTGCAGGCACTTTGCAGGTGCTTCTTTTCTCTTTCTCTCTCGGTTACCAGTGGTCTTGATCTCACAGATCTGTGGTGGGAGGGCGAGGGGATGCTGCTTGTTGTCTCTCCTCGATGTCCAGCAACACAGAGTGACATTCAGGAAACCATATCTTGGTGAGCATCCCAGCATGCTCTGGCTGCTGGGGGAAGGAGATGGTCCAGGACTTGTCTACCCAAGGGTCAGAGAGGTCACCCAGCCTGGCGTCCCTGGGGACACATGTGCTTGGGAGAGGGAAATAAACGTCACGGGGCTGTTGTTGGTCCCATCTCATCCTCTTCTCCTTTGGCATAGCATTTCTTTTTGTACAGCTGTTCTCTTCCTGGCTGTCTGCAATGGGCAAGATGCTGTTGGTGGGCATCACCATAGCTGGGTTTGCTCTGTCTCAGCTCCCAAGACTTCTGAGTTCCTGCTGTGATGGAGCCTGAGCTTGGGCCTGGGCTGGTCTTCCCCATCTCTGGGCTGTGGTGGGATGAACATGTGCAAACATGATGCACGTTGGGAGCATACCTGCAGAACCCCTGAGCCCTGCAAACCCGCCACACTGTGAACAGCTCACGTCTGTGAGCAGCCCCAGGATTGCTCCTCCTCTTCCTCTTGCAGAAACACAACAGACGCCTGCCCAGGACGATGCACAACGAGCAGAAAAGGTTGTTTTGAGAAGGAGTATGAATGGAAGGCAAAAAGGCACGTGAGAAGGATGGCAAGGTAAGGGGAGTCTTTGCCTGGGCACTGGGTGGGAGTACAGGGAAGGAGCTGCTCACCCGCTGTGGCAGCAGGAACCTCAGAGCCTGCAGGAAAGCCCCCGGCGGTTGCAGAGTCAGTTGTGGTGATGGAAGGACACGTGGTGGCCATGTGAATACTGAAAGCGTT